TCTCTCTAAGAAAACTTTGGTGACCCGGTCTCCAGGTCTATATAGTCCTGTGCGTACAAACGTAGCTTCGATATCTTTCTGGCAAGAGTTAGGGAAGGGCTCTCTGTTTTTCCAAGCATCATCTAATACTGCACGAGCTAAATTGGTCTGATGATCCTTCCTCAAGTCTTAAACTTCACGTTTGGTTGACAAAGTGCGCCAGGAGGTCGACAACGGTGTGAAGTGTTCAACAAGAAGCATATTTCGAGGTCGAGCGGACACCATGAAGAGTCCAAACAGTAAGGTAGGAACGCTGTCGGTGCTGTTATGACAGATTTGTCGCTCTTCAGATTCTATGCTTGAGTCAGTGGCCATCATTCCTCATATTTAAGTTCCCATCCATGTTCATGACTGAAAAACGAGCCTAACTTCATTAGCTTTCTCTACGACCAAAATGCAGGTTAATTTGGAGCATAGTTTAGTTGGCAAAGATACCACCAGAAGAGGAGGAGGTGAAACAAATTGGGTCGGTAGAAAGTATCCCTCGATAGTTAGATCGGAGGCTAAGAGCGCAAGCACCTGTCGTGGACTCATGAAGAGATTCAGATCTTTCGTATGTTTCACGACGAATGCGCCGAAAAAGATGCCGGGAAAGAACGCGGTCAATGACGGAGTGCTGACTCAGTTGGTTTATCCAGAGAAAGGATCGAAGAGGAATTCGAGGAACTTTGACGAACCAGTAACATGTGAAAACATGGACATATCTTCAAGAAAGATGGTTTCAAGTTTTGTTGTCCAATCTCATGATAACCTCCGAGCCGACTCAGAAGACAATCTATCGGCGAGAATTTTAGAAGGCGAAGCCGCAAGTATACAATCTGACATTGAAGAAAGTGAGAAGACCATGCAATTTTCTCCAGGCCGCGTAAAGCGTCTTGTTCAGTTGTTGCAAGACAAGGAATCGGTCGAGACACGCGAAAATGCAGCCTCAGCAGTGGCTTCGCTTTCGAAGTATCTGAGAACTGAATCTTTGCAGGCTTTAGTGGGACTGCTCGCAGAGAAGGAGAATGAAGTGCTGAAGCGCTTTTCAGTGGAGATTCTATCATACATCACCGAAGACAAGAACACCAGAAATACGGTTTGTTCATACCCTGGAATAATAGATGGCCTCCTCAGGCTTCTCATGGCAAGCAAGAAGAATTTCCACAGAAATATGGTTTGTTCATACCCTGGAATAACAGATGGCCTCCTCAGGCTCCTCATGGCAAGCAAGAAGAATTTCCACAATCAGGGTCCTCGAGGGGATATACGAGTGCGAGCATTGTTGGTCCTGAGACAACTGAGTGAGGAAGACGCTTTTGCGGAACAGTTCGATCGCATACCTGGGTCATTGAAAACTATAGTCGATATGCTTGCAGACAAAGCTTTCCTAGTTCAAAACACCGCATCACACATACTAGAGAATCTAGCAGCAAATGGGACGGAGTACATGCAGTTTAAAATTGCAGATTGTGCAGGTGCATTAGAAAACATCAGAAGATTACTGTTTACAACCAAATCGAACGAAGAGGAGCTACGATGTTGTGCAGCAAGAGTGCTGAAGCTACTCGCTGGACACATAGGCGCCTCTCTGAAGATTTTGAACTGTCCAAAGTTGTTATCAGCCTTGCAGTTGAAAAAAACAGATATGATTTGTTCGTCAGAGTTTCGAAATGTAATTCTTCTAACCTTGAAGGAGCTGGAAAGTAGTATAGAAATACTTTTGACCAGCACATGGCCAGAGGAGGGGATGAAATTCCCAAGATGAACAGTTAGCCCTTTAAGTTACGAAGGTGTTGAGTCACAACCAGGTTTCCGTTTCAAGGGCTGTAAATAAATAATCAAAGGTCAAATTACAACTTTCTTTCTGATAAAGTTCTTTATCATTTGCGCATAAATCGACTGTTCATTCTTACCTGAAGAGGTAGAAGAAGTAACGCTGGCTCCTAAGTGGCGTCAGAGCTCTGGATTTCGTTGCTTTAAGAGGAGCACGCACTGTCGTTGAGTTGATGTAGAAGTAGAACTCTTCTCCCATGCAGTCCATTTGGCAGTTTAGGGCCTATGATGTTGTGACTTCATGGAGGTGTGAATGTATCACCGTAGTCATGAGTGTTGGTATCAGAAGACAATTTTCACCTCATTTCGATACCTATCTGGTTTACAGTACCTCCACTTTTGTCTGATCGAGACTCGTATAAGATAGTAGTAAAAATATTCACTCGCTGTGCGTCACATACCGTGATCTTCATACAATTAGGTACAGTACATGAAATATAAACCCAAGCGAGTTAGGAAACTCTGAATTTTTCCTGGAGATAGTGAGAAATACTGTTTTGTGGGATGTAATCAAATATTACCATTTCCACCCCAGATGAAGCGATTAGCATATTTACTGCTTACAATGTGTCACACTTAGCTGCGATGGTTGCCTGGTTGCTGAAGCTGTATTGGGTGCCTATCCCTGTCCCCGTTATCACCACTGCTGATTAGGCTGCAAGAATATCGACGATAGTCTGAACAAACCGCATGCAAAGTTATACGGTTTCCAGATAACTGCACCCCATATTTCTATACAGAAAGAGTGGCGAAGTATCAAAAATATCTGAAGTCCCGTTTCCTTCAACCAGCTCGCGAGTTTCAAATTCCATGTGAACCTCGCGGCAGGAGCGACGGTTACGAACCTCGATGATGAAGTCATCAGAAAAATTTTCTGTTCATCATTAAGCTCAAGTGCCTGGAGCGTGACGATTTGGCTGGCTACGCCACATGGCGTACTCCTATGCACGCCTAATGTATGCAATCGTTCCACCATATCCAGGAGGAAGGATGGAAGTACAGTACACTCGTGCTTTTCTCATTGTTTCTACACACGTACTATCACGTAAATGATGACACGAGACCATTTTCGACACTCCCGCGTGCGTGCTGGTAGTCTTGCCTCCTTTACTGAAAGCCTCGACGAACTGTAAGAGCATACTCACCCGTTAATTATGCAGAAAAGCTTGGCAGAAGTAAAGCACAATCATGCGTTCAAAAGATGTGTCTGAGACTGAAAACACGTCAGTGAGGACACCAAGACTAGCAACGCCAATCGCCCGTCCATCAGCACAAATTCTGTGCAGATATGCCTGCTAATAATGACCGCAAGCGTGAGAAAAGAATTCACTGGTCCAGCAGGCAGAATCATGGAGCGGCCTTGAGAGCACGATAAGAGAGAGCTGTGTCTGCGGACCCAATCATCCTATAGCGGGTCTATGTCAAAACCCCCAAAGCCGATCAACGTTGGCATCGAAAGGGAGTAACAGAGTGTCCAACTTTGCATTCAGCGGGTGAAGTATCAATTGTCCAATGTCGTACTCAAATGAAGAAGATCCTCCATTATTCCAGATCCTACTGTTTGTGAGAGGATTTGGCAGTCTCCAACTCTGTAAGATATACCAAAGAAGCTGCTAGAGTTAGTAGCAAGAGTGATCATAGTTCACTCATAGTGAACTATGACCAAAAGTCATCGTTCATGCATGGCTGCTCTATTTCTCCTCACCTTCTTTTATGAAGTTCGGATGTTGGAGAGAGGTTCCAGCTTAACAATTCAAAATTATTGAGAATGAGATTCCAACAATGAAGAGTGAAATTGGGATCGTTCAGCAATTTCTGTAAGATCCTGTCCTGGAACTATACGTCTGGTCAGTGCGAGGGCAAGTGGAGCCAATTGACATGGATATCTATGGTGAGATCTTTGGAGCAGTATCGGATGAAGGAGCTCGTGTCGAAAGCACTTTGGATCTCACTTCGATGTATTCTATAAAGCTTCCAGTAATTTTTGCATCATGCCAAGCCTGATATAAAGTCAAATTGTCACCAAATTCATGTTCGTAGATTAGACTCGCTTTACAGCTCTCTGTAAATTTTTCTACCCCACATGAAACCTCACCATGCGTGTATGGATTCACAGGCCCGTAGACCAAGAAGTAAATGCTTTTGACAGCACCCCACCCTAATGGTGGTGAATTGGCCTTCCCGTTACGTTTGATCTGTATGGTCTTTCACCTTGCATCTTCCAGGCATTGATCGTTATAGGAGTTGAAAGTAAGCCGCGTCTTTCTGGAAGAAACCAAATGTTGCATGCTTCTCCTCCTCACATTTGGATTTGGAGAAAATAGGCAACATGGATGTCCCAGTAGCCACAAACGTTGTCCGGTCGTCGCGAAAACGACTCTACATTTAGAAGGAAAGAGATGGCAAGGAAAAACCTCAAAAGAGGAGTTCCTTCCGCGACTTCGCTGCTTCCACTTGCACCAGAGTTGTGACAAGTTGTTTGTCTCGATACATACAGAAATTTATATTTTGCGATGACTTACGAAAATCTCCTGCACAAACATCATGTTGCGTATTCAGTCGTGAACGAAAAAGTTGCATCGGCCGGGAATCGAACCCGGGTCTGTTCCGTGGCAGGGAACTATTCTACCCCTAGACCACCGATGCTTGTTGCTGTTATCGTATGTATAATAATTCAGTATTGAAAAATCCGGTCATTTGGCCTATTATGATCAGTTGACATGACCTCCACAAGGTGTGGATAAAATGCTCTACAGTAGAAAGAACTTGCTTTTCTACTATATTCCACAATCTGTTGAAGAAGCGCTGGAATATATAGTGTTTCAGGGCAGAAAGGTAGAATTTTATGGTGCCACATACCACTGTTGGTGGAGAGTAAGTGTAGTTTTGTGTTGTATTATTCGCTACTGCGATCCTCGTTTTGTGGTTAATAGTTCACTCAGTTATGGTCGCACTGGCTGGGGGTCTATTATACATACTGTAGGTTCTATTCTGGCTTCCACATAGAGCAGGTGCTTTCGTGGATGTGTTTCTGTTGCAATGCAGCAGAATAAGATCAAACCGAAGTGCTGCACAGCCAGCGCCATATTATAGACACTTTCAGTTTGTTGAAAGTATGGTAATAATCTATTGCAAATTGAGTTATGGGGAATATGTGTTACTTTAGTTCTAATCGTCAAAATTGATGTTGTTCAAATTAATCTTTAAATTTGAGCCATTTCGAATTCTTAAACGCCCTGTGTGTCGTGAATTACGACGGGCAGAGGATGGGACTAGAGTTGAACTACACAAACGGTAGGTACATGTTCTGTACGTACCGTATGATGAGAAGCTTACACAGTCCAGATTTGGACCCTAAATGAGCCCAACATGGCAGATGATCCAGTCAACTTCTGCTGACTTTATGGACCTGCTAAACGTTGTACAGAAGGATCTAGAACAGTATATTGGACCCAGTGTTTTGCTCAAGCCTCACTGCAATGCATGTGTCTCTATGCTTACTTCTACGAAAAACTATGACTCTTCATTGTAGGAAAAAGTAACTTGATGATTGATCACCGAAACTTTGAGACCTGCTAAAATGTCCAGGTGTTTACTGAGCTCTCATAATTTATCAACAACATACGTTATCTCAGACTGGAATGTGACGACTTTCCACATGTTTTCACGGATCTCAGCAAGCTCGTCCTAAGATTGAGGATTATTCGTTTACAGACTGATTTTGACATTTTGAGAATATCATGGGAGTGTAGAGACTGTTACGAAGCAATGATTTCTGGACTGCTGGGAAAGAAGATTTTGTCCTTGCTCAGTTCTTCTGAATGGAAGGACTGTGGAGCCGATCATCGAAAGATAAGAACACACCCGTTATGCACTTGTCTTTGACGAGATGGGCACAGAACCAAAACCATTTCCAAACTCGACATACTTCCTCCAGCATAGAAAACTTCTGCTGTAGCACAACTGGACTGAACTGCAGTTCTTTATTGACTTCAATCGATTGTGCACCAAGTAAGTCACTTCGGTTCCTCCACCTCCAAACCATTTTCTACCATAATCCTCCCGATCGTATTATTAAACCTCTGTGTCAGAGAGTATTTTCCTGACCTTTACACTTGGAAGCAGTACCTTCTCGATTCCGGACATTCAACGCAATTTCAGTATCACGAAGGCTATCAGTAATGAGCTCTGTATCCCGTAGTAGGATTCTTCGTTCGGTCCGGAAACACATGTGTTGCCAGGCCTCCGGCACGGAGGCGTTTGCAGTTTTATCTATGCCTTCTGACGTCCCATGGTACTCGCATCTGTTTCTGCAAATGTATGTAAATAAGTTCTTCAGGCCGTGAGAGCGACATACGAATTACATTAGTGTATAAATAAGAAGGATAAGTGATGAACTTTCAGTCATGAAAGAATCTCTTCTATCAGAACTCCCAATTTCTTAGAACTCTTTATCTTTAATTTGTTATATTCCCTTGTTTTTGCATTAACAAGAAAACAACCGAAGGACAGGCACACTTAGAGACCCATCCTACCAACTCTTTCCAGCCAGACAGGATTGAAACAGAGGTGGTTAACGATGAGAGTGTACCCATAACACGTCAGCAGGTTGTCGTGTTTGAAAGATTGAAACTTTTTTAGGGGCTTCGTTTCGGCATCGACTCAACTCTGTACAGAGGTTTACTTTCAACGAGTTGAAACATATTCCACCTCTTTTTTCGAAGTTGACTAGCTCTGACTACAAGTATACGTGTTCTCATCTCCTCGCCGATTATTAGCCGACGCGCTGTTCGTGTGAACTGTTGGGCTATAAGATCACAGCTGGAAACTAGGCAACATGGGAAATGAGGGGAAGGACTCATTGGTGTTCCTGCATATAGCTCTCGAATACACGACAGATAATTTTATGCATCAGGGAATCACATGCGAGAGGTTTTTACGTATTGCATAATTCTTAGTGCCTACATCTAAATATCACTTTGAACATATCAATTAGAGTAGGACTTGATTAAGAGAAATATCGTATCAACTACACTTGCTGATTTACAGTCTTGATCAAGTGAATACACCTCATGAAAAGTATTTCTCTACCATATTATGAAACATATTAGACCTTGCCCTGATTGAGTGCTGCCAGTTATAATTTTAAAAACAAGGTCTAAATTTCCCATAATTTCTTCTGAAAATTCCATTTTCTTAGTTTTCTTCAAAAGCCTGTAATATGGCATTAAAGTGACCTTAGAAGTATGTTCAGTTACAACATTACAGGGAAAAGGATCATCAAAAGGTAAGAGTGCTTGTGGTCAGTGTCAATTTCCGGAACAGCAAGGATAGGATATCACGAGTGGACAAAAGTTTGCGAAATTGTTTACTGATGGCTGACATCCGTGAGGAATCCAATTGATATCGAAGTTTATCTGTTAGTTTTCAGGAAGACACATCAGAAGTTACATCCTGGAAGCGGTGAGCTCTTAACTGAAGTTTAGGAAAGATGGTCTTTCGAGAGATGCCCTTCAGTCTTAGCTTGCCTTGATATTTCTTCGCCGCTGTCAGGCTCGTCATTACTGATTCGTCCTCAAAGTGAGTGAAACTCGCCGAAATTGCGATATCTGGCGTGAATTTAAACAGCATAACGAACATGCACCTTCGTCTTCCTTCCCGAATCTCTTTTCTGGACTGTGTTCCAGCATTTCAAAATAATAATGCAGTACACTGTTTGACGTACTTGAAGCCGTAAATGGAGGTGAACAAGCCCAACCTGGTGCTTATGCAAGGTTAACGGAGGTAGAGTGCTCAACAAATTTACTCATTGTGCGATTTTCACGTTGTACCCTCAAATACATGGAGCACAAGGAGCACCGACCAAGAAACCCAACTTCCTGCATCAGGAGAAATCTGTCATCATGTTGGAAGCCTTGAGCTTGTGCTTCATCATCGGACTCATCTCCAGATAGTTCTCCAGTCTTTTCTGCAGATGGTAGTTCACCTCCTTCAGGCGCTTTCTCTCAAGATTTATAGCCATCTTCTCAAGCATGACCTTGTTGAAGCGGCGGTTCAGATTATCAAAATATCGTTTTTCGGTCACCTCATCTCCATACTCATCCAAAGCGTACGAAGAAAATCTATGTGCTCTTTCCAGACGCTCTTTCTCGCGAACATGCTCCGGAATGGGATTCTCAAGCTGAGACACTCGTAGTACTAGCTCCTTCTGCCTGGGAGGGAATTCGGCTCCCTCTTCAGAAAGCAAGCAGGGGAAGATTTGGTCGTACTCTGTCTCCAATTTCCTGTTCAGCTTTCCTAATGAGAGAATCCCCTGGGCCAACTCCAGCTTTTTCGTCAAGTCAGCCATCACTTCACCACTGGCCTTCGAGATCGCTCTGAGCTTTGCGTGCTCGGAGTTGTGCATTCTGTTCAGAGACCTCTTCAGATCTTGATAATGTTTGTTGATCCTGTCCTTTTCCTCTTTCAAGGCCTTGTTCATGGCCTCCCACTCTCGAGTATTCAACGCAATTCTCGCACGCCAGTAGGCCAAGCTCTCGTGTAACCTGATCAGTTTCCGCATCCTTTGCTCGACCAGACGAGAGGTGATGATGTCCTTTTTCACCATGGCCTTGAATTGGATCGTCTTTGCCTCCGTGCTGGCCAGATACGCCTTGTGGGTCTCCTGAATTTGGTTCTCGAGATCCTCTACCTGACTTTCGAGCCCGATTTTCGCCACATTGTACTCCTCCGTGCTTTTATTCTTCAACTCCTCTCGGATGGCCTCGAACTGCTGGCGATGCTCGTTCATGGTTTCCTTGAACTCCTCTTCCATGGCCTTCATCATGGCCAACAACTCCTTTTCATTCTTTGTGTGCATGTTTATGATGTATTCCCTCTCGGTGTTGAACTCGGTCTCCAATCTGTTCAATTGTTTGAGATAATCGTTCTCCATGATTTGGACGCGAGTGTGGTGGAGGTCTATAAGCGTGTTCAAGGTCTGCATGTGATTGTTGTGAGCGAACTCGTACTGATCGTCGGCTTCAACGAGCCTGTTCATGAGATGGACGATCGTTCTGTCTGCCTTCTTTATGTCGTTCTCAAATTTCTCCATCATCGGCCCCACGCTTGCTTTCAATTGCTCCGCCTTCCCGGCCCTCATCAGCTCTCGCCATTGCATGTGAACTTTATACATATTAGTCTTGCTCACATTCTGTTCGACGCTCACGCTCTTCAACAAATTATCTCGCTTCGTCAGAATTCTCTTCTTCCTCTGCTCTGCGGCCTTCAAAGCTTTCAGTTCGGCCTTCGCCTTCTTCTCTTCATCAGTGAGTTCCCTCTTCACCTTCTTCTTCTTGCGATCCATGACGGACACAAGACCACAGTCGCAGAAAAACGCAACGACAGTCGGGTTACACTGATTCGGCCGACCTCTGTACCTCTGGCCTGTTCAAGATCTCGTTGGGTTCGGCTGGCTATGCCGTTAAATGTCACGAGCACTCTGTCATCGAATTCACCTGAATATGCGCGAAATCCATCCACACGGCTTGGACTCGCCCTCATCCACGTGGCGAAACTAAAGATGGTACCAATGCGCACTTCTCACTTGGGCCGTGAAAAAGCCTTCTCAGACTGGTGGGAAAACGAAGGACGAGATTCACGAGACTCGTCAATTAATATCACCCCATTCTTAGAAACCTTGCCAAATTACTTGTCCCAGCAAAGCATCCTCTCAAGTCCGCGGTCGTGCGTAGAATTAAGCTGGAAGCAAATGTTCATCGCCTGCCAGAGGCATTCCGGTCCCCTAATGAGCAGTAGGAGACAGTACAGACCTTAGTAGGCCAATTTCAAGATCAACTCGAATACCAAAAAAAAATTAGACTCAGCAGGAGACTCTACGCGCTTTCTTCTCGTATCAGCATGGAGCGTAATTTTTACTGCAGAGTGCTGAATGAGCTACTGTCCATAAATTCTAATCCAATGTACGCAACTTGAGCTCAGACGAGATGCCTCGAGGATCTAATCATGGCACTGCCAGAAGGTTTCATCCATGCGTGCTGCACAAGTTGCGAGCAAAATGCGCCTGGATCAAAATGTACGTAATGATATTTGATCCGTCGAGGAATGTTGGAACTGATGACGAATGTGCTTAGTGCAACATTGACGAATCTATGGTTCACTATCGCAGAAAAAGTACATTTTTCTTTTGATATAAACAATATTAAATTGATTTGAAGCTGGTTCAAAAATAGGGAGTACTGCGAATCTGCGCCGTACTTCTACGACCTGGCAGCCACCGGAAGTGTCAGCTCAACCCCACATCACAAATAGTCCCTCGATCCGGACTTGCTCTTGGTGACACTCTCATATTTTGTAGTAGATTCGCAAGGTCTTTCAAAGGGCATGTCTCAAAAATACAAGTCCCATTCTGTTGCACGAAGGTTGGGATTACAGGCTCTCTAGCCTTCATACATGGACGCGATATACCGGCACATAACTATATTCTAGACGCATGAAGTTACTATTAGCATAGCTGGAAAAGATCTGACTGTACTACAAGTTGCATCCTTGTGACTGGATCATGAAATTCTTGAATTGCCCATGGTCTTTAATTGATACCTTGATACCCATGATCTTTAATTGAATTTAATTGATACAAGTTGCAAGAAGTTTCTAAGAAACATCTGTAGTTAGTATTTAGTTACCCAGTGTAGTATAGTAATCATACTAAGATAATTTGTGGTGTTAAATCATCTTTGTCTTCTTAACTTTCGGCTGGGATATTGACTGTCTATGATCTCTATCATCCTCATCTCCATTACTCAAGGATCCCACTCTCACTACTAAGATAAGGCTTCGTAGTTCTTTTTCTAACCACCAAACATTAGATATTTGCCGGTCTTGTTTTTTTAATAGGCTGTTAGAAGAGAACTTGTTGTTCTAGTACCTTATCTAGCCATGGACAAAGCTTCAAATTTTCCAAGTCTATGAAGTTTATTTGGCGTGATAACTATTTCAATTTGTCGATCCGTTTCAAAGTGATTTTTCGCACCAAAGATTGTTGGTATGAGATCATCCACCAATCTATTATACTTCACAATCTTGATGGTGCTCGTCAGCAAGACATCCGCAAGCGTCGTATCAAAGTCATATCATTGATTCAGACCATTGTGCATTCTGACATTCTAACTTCTATTTCAGATTTTGAGTACACTCCTGCAAAACTTTGGACTCACCACTGTCAACGATATGAATCGCATAACACACAACGACTGCTCATTCTCCTCGCTTTAGCTTGCAAATGACGCTTTTCTTGAAATGTACCTACAACAAGTAGACTCTATCGCTGTCCAGCTCGTTGGTATCGTTCATAGAGTACCGAGCACTGATTTCATACATCACATGCTAAAGCTACTACTTGCTAGTTACGGACCTTTTGTGCATAATTTTTTTAGGGTGAAATGGAACGTCAGCCTTCTTTATCATATCAAGATCTCGTCGAACGTCTTTAGTCCATGCAGTTTTTCAGTGAGGGAAAGACACAATCGACGAGGAGGCTAACTTCTTTGCTACCAAACGCCATAACTTCCGTGCTCGCTCAAGTCATCTTCTTTGATCAACTCATTCTCATGTTATCTCAACACCACGGCAGAGTGGAATATGCCACGTTCAGCATGTTGTGATTATTGTAGTATGACTAATCATCTTCTAGCTTACTGTCACTTACAAAAATTGGACAAGTCCATTGCAAAGCTGCAGATTTGCGCATCGAAACTCCATCGTAGCAACTGTGATCAGATCCACTTAGTGGTGGAAGAAAGAAATACTATGATACATATAGAATCTCCAAAAGTTTTTGAAGAACCTTTGGATGTAGAAGCAAATTTTGTTCCTGATTTCAACGGTGATACCTCTTTCATAGTTGATTTTTATATTGATTCGGGAACCAACAGCTATATCACAAGAAATTGTTCTACCATATTGTCATTTCAAGCAAGACTTTCATCAGGAGGAGTGTCTACTGCCAATAAGTTTGTTTTATTTTATTGTCATTTCAAGCAGGATCGTCATCAATATGAGTGTGTAATGCCAATGGGGCTCATCATTCTATAGCCGAAAAAGACACTTTGTGTATTGACTCTAATAAATTCGTCAAATACGTTGTGTATGTTCTTGGGTTAACAAAAGATGTCTTGTCCGTAGGCCGCCTTATTGATTCATGACATTATGCACTTTTTACGCCTAATTCATATTTTCTTCTAAATCAGAAAGATTCAACAACTGTATTTATGTATGCAAATAACGATTCCAAGAGTAGATTGTGTAAGATTAAATCTTTTCATCCTCAGTTATTTGAAGAATCCAAGCAACTATTCACAAAGGTTCATGCATTTCTACGATATTTCAGGTCTTTTTGCTTTTGTTGGGATTGCTCAAAGACTACAACTCTTGCAACTATAAAGTCTCTTGACACAATAAACCTTTATCATCATCGGCTATGTCACTTGAATTTCTAGACGATTCACCATATGTTGTCCAAACATCTTGTCAAAAAGTTTGCCTTACTTGCCATCTAGCCATGATCATAAATGTGTCATTTGTGTTTGGTCCAAGCAACACCGCGTCCATATCAGTAAGAAGCCTACCAAGCAAATTACTCGTCCTCTAAAGCTTATCCATACCGACATCTGTGGTCTAGTTGTAGTAGGAGCCAAATTTAAGTATATGAAGCCTACCAAGCTAAGTACTCGTACTCTAGAGCTTACCCATACCGACATTTGTGGTTCAGTTGTAGTATGAAACAAATTTAAGTATATCAAGCCTATCAAGCCAAGTACTCGTCATCTAAGGCTTATCCATACCAACATTTGCGGTCTAGTTGTAGACCCCAGATGTCGGTATGTAAGTATATGTTAACTTGTATTGATGACTATTCACGGTATACATGGACCTACAAACTACGGGTTAAAAATGCTACTATTGACTATTTTAAACAATTTGTCACTTTAGCAGTGAACTTGCTTTTGCATAAAATAGCTTCCATCACTACTTGAGAGAGTGATTGGGACTTCAAAGTCTCAAACCTACGCTCAAACAAAGGTGTAGAATGTTTGTCTCAATACTTCAAAGTCTATTGTGTTAATCAAGTCATACATCGCCAGCTCATCACTGCTCGAACTCCGCATCGAAATGGAGTTTCAGAGGACAAAAATCATACGTTGATTGAACTTGCTCCATATTTGATTATTTCTCAAAAGTTTCATGTACATCTCTGGCGTGAGTGCGTACAAGCTGCAAACTTTGTGCTCAATCGGTGTGTTACTCGAGTAGTGAACTTAACAACTCCATTTGAAAAATTATATGGCATTCCTCCCTACTTATCTCGTCTTCAAGTGATTGGAAGTTTGGCCTAGGTTCACATACCAATAAAAAAGCACACCAAACTACAAGTGAAGTCTTTTTGCACTGTCTACTACGTTTGATGAGCAGTCACGAACCTATCGTTGCTGGAACCCGCATAACAAACACATAGTTGTGTTTGCAAATGTAATTGTATTTGAATCTATCGTATGTGATTTTTTTCAGCTCAAGCAATTGTGAATGTTTTTTCCTCCCTTCTCGACGATGGCTCCATGCTTCCTACTCCATCATCCTCATAGAAGTACAATTCTTATCAAGCTTATTCCACGATTCGCTCAAATATTCATCAACCAGCCGTAACTCAAGCTTAAGCATTGTTTATGATTTATCCTACGACGTCTCACACTACTGCAACCTACTCTATCTAAGATATGATTCTTCCACGACGCAATACTTCAAGGATGTGACGATTATCAACTCGCTACGACGATTATTACACCTCTGCATGTCACAAACTCAATGTTGTTGAGGCAATCCAATCGGTCAATGATCAAATTTCATTCCATCAAACGAAGCTTCATCCGGACTGGTGGAAAGCAATGTAGAAAGAATTTGACGCTATTATTGTCAATCTCAATTTGAAATTGGTTGATCTTCCCCAAGGTAAAAAGGACTAACTTCACGTTTAATCTACAAAGCAAAATGAGAGGTTCATCCACATGAATTTGGGATCAAATTGTCTAGCTTTGAGGTTTTCTCAAAGCTAGACTTGTTGCTTGTGGCTTGGAGCAAACCTATGGAATGAATTACAACAAAATCTCTCCTACTATAATCCGTTGATCTACTCTTTGAGCAATGATAGCACTATCTTTGGTTCTTGATTGAATTTTGCATCATATGGATGTTATTAGTGTCATTCTTAATGCAACTTTTCATTAACACTTACTGGAGCGAAGGTACGAGTCAATCTCCTCATACAACTCATAAGGAGATTGTTTGAGCCCGTATGGAGACCTTTTCATCTGACACACACCAAGTGCTGGTTTTTCAAGATTGATTCTTTTTAGTTCTTCAAAGCTTGGGGGCTGTTGCATGTAGATCTG